TTGGGAAACCTCGGTGTGGTTGCGATTCACTTACCTATTGCTTATTTAACGATGCTGACAGTAACTGGGAGCGTATGCCGCCGGATGGGTAAGTTGAAACGGATATAAGAGGAAACGATCGTGCAGTATTGGAAAGTAATATCAGAGCATTTGCCTGGAGGGACTTGGGATAACCACGAAACCCCTGCCAGGAGAGTCGGTGCCCCTCTGAACTCAAGTCAGTCAAGCCACGGCCAACTTGCTCGCTGAGGACGAGACAGTAATATTACAAGAAGTTCTTGGAAGAGATACAAGAAGAAGAGAGAGAGCGAAGAAATGGGGGTGGTAGTGAGAGACACTACATGGGGGGGGGGGAAGAAACTATATCTCCGATTTTGAAGGTTCCCAGGCAGTGCCTGCTTGTCCTGGTAAAGATAGAGCATATGATCGGATTTTTTGTTTGTTTTTGCTAACGTTGGGAGGGCTATATTAAGGCGAAATTTTGATGTTAACAATGGGAGGGCTGCATGTGAGGCATGCAGTGCAACGTGGAATTTGGGTACCGACTCAGCATTTGCTCTAGTACCGAGGAAATAATTAATCGTCTGCCTTCCTATGAAACGATACGGACCGCATAGAAAACACACAGACATTAAGGTGATTTCATAAGGCTCCTTTTATTTCTTAAAAAATATGGACATCAGGCTAAAATACGGATATTTAGAAAACTGCATGAGAGTATGTGCAGTGGATTCAGCTGGCTCAGGACAGAGAGCAACAGCTGGCTCTTGTGAGCATGGTCATGAAACTTTCGGTGCCATAAATGTGAAATTTCTTGAGCAGCTGAGCGACTACTGGCTTCTCTAGGAGAACCAGCTGCACGGAGCAGCATTCAGTCATTTCTTCCGATCCGACGCTGTCATGGAGTAGGTCAAAGGTAAACCTATCCGTGTAACAGGCCGTGGAGGTTCATAGGTACGTGAGACTTCGAGGCTTCCACATTTTCCAGACAGTCGACTCATAGATGAGGGTGCGGTTGTCAAACTTACGAACCGGCTGCCTCTTACTCCCAGGAAGATTCATGGTACTCATTTCTGTTAGAGGCTGAGTCGACCCCAGGGCCATAGTGTGGTTGAAAGGATTATTACGTCAACTGAAAATTCCAGCGACATCATCGGGAATCGAACACGCGACCCTCCGGCTTGTAGCATAGTGCCTCAACCAACTACGCTACCGAGTGCCCCCCCCGGATTGTCCGGAAACGTCACAGGGAAAGAACCCCCGGTAACCATTGGATAGGTGGTTGGGTGGGCCCCACAGCTAGTCTGGACGCTGTGGAGAAGATAAAAATATTTCCCTTGCCGGGAATCGAACCCTGGAATCTAGCCCGTAGTCTGTCGCTGTATCGACTGAGCTAACTCTGCTCTAACTGTGCACCGATCTGCCTTTACATATAGATACTCCACAACTCTAGGACGATCCGTAAAAATATTCTTAAACGACTTAAACCTAAGTTTGTAAGCAAATATTCTGGTTGCCCTCGCTCGGGGGAATCCTGACAGCCGCCAATGAATCATACTTGGCACTGCAAGTAGCCGTCTACATACCTAATTATTACTGATGCGTCTAGCCATGTTTGTTTATGCAATCCTTGGCTCTAGAGTTCTCTGAGAACCTTGGCCTCCTTTATAACACACGCCCACAATCCTCTGCTACTGTCTTCTGTCTCCATCTCTTCACTTTCTGCTCTCTTACATCATTCTCTACATCTTCAGACATCCCAATCTTGGCATTCCTACATTTTTTCTATTTTCTTACTCATTTCAAAACTTTTCTTACCCACCCTTGATTCATCCATTGTAATGAAATGCCCCAACCTACTCCACATCCCTACCAGATCAGGGGCTTTATATAATTCATCCAGTTTTGGGTTAAATCGGTCTATAGAGGCAAACTGGTTCATGCACGTTCACAGAACGCTTTACTTTTTTTTTTTAATTTCCGTCTAGCGACCATAACTTTTTTGTTTCGTGTGTGTAACTGAAATGTGCAATCGGACAGGACACTCATAAAAACCAATAATTTTTATTAAACACAACTGTTCCGTTTCGGGGTTTAAATCGCTCAAGCATATGAAAATTATGCATCGCCGCTGCTGCGAACATTAATTAATGCAACATCAGTTCTTATGCAAAGTGGCCACTGCGCATATATGCTTATATACGATGCTGTGTAAAGCAAAACTCGGAAACTCACTTACATAACTCCTTACAGCTTCCAAAGTTCTTGTGGTCCCCAAACTATATTGACATTTGAGGCATATTTTCAAACAAATCCCAGATGTTACTTTTCTGCAGTTCATTTTACAATCTCATAACGTGTGGCGACGACTCGTACCTATGAAGCTTTAAAAGTTGCGAGGTATAGTCATATACGGTTAAAGCCAAAGAGAAAAGTAAAGCTATCCCTGTAACAGGCTGTAGAGGCCCATAGGGTTGTGAGATGTCGACGCCCCCACATTTTCTAGACAGTCGGCTCACAGATGGCGGTGAGGTTGTCAGCCTTATGCGTCGGCCGCCCTTTACCCCCAGGAAGATTCCTGGTACTTATTTCTGTTAGAGGCTGTGTCGACTCCAGGGCCAAAGTGCTGCTGGAAGGATTAGACCAATTTAAAAATCCAATGACTTCATCGGGAATCAAACCCGTGATCTTCCGGCTTAGAATGAAAATTACAGAAGTTTACAATAAGCTCCGAAATGTTTCTATCAGTGTATTTCAAAGGAGTTATTAAAGAAATACCTCAGAGCCGTGCCACAGCTGAGGTGGTTAGTCGCCGGGTTCGATTCCAGGTCAGTTAACGTGGGTTTTGTGGTGGAGAGCGTTCCCATTAGGGCAGGCTTCCTACGAGCACTTCGGTGTCCCTTGCTAATTCTCATTCCACCAAATGCTTCATACTCATCTATCATCCGGGGCTGGTACAATAGGTTAATTAGTGACAGTGGTACCAAGTGAACTCATTCTCACCCCACCCCAAGAATAAATAACATAATAAAAGAAAACCCTCACAAACCACGTATCACGCTCTTGTACCACGGTGGGGGTGATATTTTAAACCCCTGTGTTTCGAAAAACACTTGACAGAAACTTCAGAAAATGTTAAGCGAAATATTTGGTATGGGACCAATTACTTACTTACTCATGGAGCTGAGCCCTTCTTGAGGAGTCGCCAATTCTGCAGCTACTCAAGAAATTCCCAGCATTTTATGGAACCCGAAGGTTCATCACCGTGTTCACAAGAGCCCTCCACTGGTCCCTATCTTGAGCCAGATTTATCCAATCCATACCATCCCATCCTATCTCTCTAAGATTCATTCTAATATTGTCCACCCACCTACGCCTTGGTCTTCCCTGTGGTCTCTTTCCTTCTGGCTTTCCCACCAATATCCTATACGCATTCCTCGTCTCCCCCATTCGTGCTACATGAACTGCCCACCTCATCCTCCTTGACTTGATCATACTAATTCTACTTGGAGAAGAGTACAAGTTATGAAGCTCCTCATTATGCAGTTTTCTCCAAATAGTGTGATTTCATCTCTCTTTGATCCAAATATTCTCAACACCCTGTTCTCAAACACCCTCAGTCTATGTTCCTTCCTTAATGTCAGAGACCAAGTTTCACACCCATACAGAACCACAGGCAAATGGGACCAATACGCATACCAAATTTCACCACAGCCCGAGATGGTGAGGCGTACGTTTTGCTTTCTGGTGGGCGCTGGTTTACCGTGGAATGGCCCATTAGATTTTCTTCCCGCTCCAGACAAGCAGCTAGTAGGCTATGTCAGCTCTCTTTTGTTGCGCTAGAGGAAGCACAAAAATCTTTTCTCCGTAAATTAGCCCACATAAGGTATGGCGTGCTCTATTCGCAGCGCAGATGGACTTAGCTACTTGCGGAAGGGGTTGATACAGAGCGGGCCCATGTCAACACGGCGCATGCGCGGTTGCAGTTCCGTCACAGCAGTGATAGAGAGGGAGAGGGATGCTGAATACTGGTCTCGCACGTGCTAAACACACTCAAGGGCTGCTGTCATGTGACGATATCCAACCGCATGCCCAGCTATGGCATCCATACACGCATAGCACAGTCATTCTTCATAGGGTCCCTATGCTGAGACTACACAAACACTTGAACATTGCTGTCTAGCAGGATGGGACGCAGTATATTCTGGTAGTGAAATACCAAAGTTCCAAAGGAACCAGCTAACTCTATTTTCAAAGGCCATTGTGGAAATGTTGTAAAAAGTTAATGACGTTCCTAGGGAACCAGCTCCCTCCATCCTCAGAGTATACCCTGAAGATGGAGGCAGAAGGTAAATCAGAAACATTAGTAACTACGTATCCCATGGCTTCATATACTATTGGTGGAAGAACCACACGCAAGTTTTAATTAAGACACATAAGATGAATAATCTTAACAAGTTTTAGTGTGTGTAAATTTATCATAGTTGACAAATACGCACTTTCTAAATACTTTTTAAATAATTTTATAAAGGCAAGCAATGAAATAGATTAGCGTAATTAGGGCACCTGATGATGGCACTATGTTGCCGAAACATGTCGTGAAGTAACAGGTGAAATTGAATGCACTACAAGACTGCAACTGTATACATATCACAGATGAAAATCAGTGCAACAGGACGCTAAAATATAACATTACTACAAGACACTGATCTTCATACACAACGTCATATCCCAGAAAAAAATGTTAAAATTCACAGCCGTGTGAATCTTATAAATTTAAGCAAGGATACAAATTATAACAGAAGAACGCTAATTTAACGAAAGACCAGCAGGATCCCACATTGCTTGATTTAACTGAACTACAATCTGTGAGGCGTGGAGGGCTAGGTGCAAACTAGGGGCCGTCATTTGACCACTAGTGCATTTGACGGGGTGAAGAGCTAGCTCACAGTGCCTGAGAATCTGATGTGACTCTTATGTATACTGCTAGCTTTAATTACCTTAATGTCCAGTTGCTTTCCTGTGATCCACAAATCAGTGCGTTTCCTATCCAGATGAAGTAGACAGATTGGGTCAGTTTATTACACGTAACTCCTCTCACAGATGATACTCATTTCTTGATATGACACGTGCTATGAATGTTACACTAGAACACGATCCGAGAGGAATGTTTTTAAAGCATGACACCAAAACACGTATGCAGTCCCCATCTCACTGATATTTTTCTGTTGCGTTTAAAGATAAGGTTAAGCGGCCAGTGGTGAATACACTTCCAAACACTTGCTGCATAGAGAAGTATAAATGTTCTAAAAGTCAAAGAAAATACACGTTCAAGTTCCGTGTTATAATTATTCAGTTGGTTTCTTACAGATTCAGCACTGTTGCTTTTTATCAATGGTAATTTCGTATCTTGCAAGTTTTCGAATTAGGCGGGAATTTACCTGGCCATGTCCTTAACCTCCAAAATACGCAACGAACACAGCGGATATTGAACGACCTCGGTACCGCGAACTCGCACTTCGCGATGCAAACGCCACGCGTCGACTGCGGGGATTGCAGCAGTCGGGAAACAAGAGATGGTAGTGGGGCGTGTGAGAGTGGGAGAGGGGAGCCAGTGAAGCAGGAATAGTGAAGGGGGAATACTCCAGTGAGTCATTGCTAGAGGGGGACGGGTGTAAAAGTGGGATTATGAAACATCTCTGTGCGCGGGGAGAATAGGTTGTTATCGCGCGCAGAACTACGCGCCGGCGCTAGGCATTATTACGTCATCGATATTGCGAAGGGCAAATGTTCTTGTCAGCAGTTGGGTGTTCTTTTGATTTTTACCTGTGTCGAGTTTTGTCTCTTTTCCTAAATAAAATATCTGCACCAAAACGGCCTGCATAAAAGCCTAAATACCGGGCCCGTAGAGCGCTTACAAGGGCACTACGGTTATCCCTTAGATTACATTGATATCACCTAGAACTGACATGGTGATATTTCATTCGCAGAGCATTCACCGACGCTAGTTCAACTGAGTCCATCGCGTTCCAAACTTCGTGTAATGGCTTCCCTTCAGATTATGAATCACACCAGGAACGAACAAACAAGGAGCCGGGCTAAGGGCTGGACGACCGAGGGATCGGAGTTCGAGTCCCGAGAAGAGTAAAGAATTATCTTTTCTCTACGTCGTCTAGACCGGCTCTGAGATCAACCCAGGCTCCTTTCCAATGAGTATCAGGGGCTCTTTCCCGCGAGTAAAGTGGCCAGGGAGTGAAGCTGACCACTCACCTCCAACTAGTGACGAGGTCAAGAATACTTGTATCTGTACATCCACTCCCCCATACGTCTTCATGGCGTAGTGCTTAATTAGTTAAGCACAGGGACAACTTTGCATTTACCTTTACCAGGAATGAACTTCTGCCCCTGCTGAGAGAAACCAGAGTCTAACCGCGGACTACAAAGGGGATAGTAACAGACAAGGTTCATAACGCGTGTATGTCACCACACAAATTTATTATTATTTTTTTTCCCTGGCACTAGAGCCCCAGTGGACCTAGGCCTACCTCCATGAACTTCTCCGTTCACTTCGGTTTTTCTAGATCTTACACATTCGGTAGGACTCCTTAGGCGGGTGATCAGCTCGTCGCAAGGCCTCTACCTGTACACAAACACAGAAAAACGCACTCACACAAACTAAACATCCATGCCCCGAGTGGGATTCGAACCCACGATCCCGGTTTCCAAGCGAGCGAAGAGAGTATATGCCTTAGACCGCTCGGCTACCGTGACCGGCCCAAATTTATTATTAGGAGGGTTAAAATTAGCGGAATGAAGGGAGGAGAATGGGAAACTCATGAAGAGATCAAAATACAGGCGTAAATTTAAATGGGAACACTTGAGGATAATAGACCACTTGGAAGACCTAAGCATAGATCTTAAAGTAACAAAGTTTGAGGGTGTGTACTGGATGAATCTGAATCAGGATAGAGGGGGGGGGGACTCTTGCGAACAAAGCAATGAACCTTCGGGCTCTGTAAAAAATGGGGTAATTTCTTCGCTGCTTAAGTGGCTATCAGTTTCTCAGTAACTCAGTGGAGAGAGTTTCAATTATGGGGGTTATTTAGTCTCAAATGATGTCGGGAGGCAATAATTAACTGCGAACACGTAAGAATTTGAAAATTGTTGGTCGTAGCCTATTTTAAGCTAGGCCTTATCATCATCATCATCATTGGTGCCGCAAGGATTTAATTCAAAAGGGACACAAAGACAACCTTTAATGGGTGCACAGCCAGACACTTTGTTTAAAACCTAGGTTGAAGCCGCTTAAAATCATTTTTACTGATCGAACTCGAATATTCAAGACAGAAGAATTGCCGTTTTTATACTTCCAGTCGCTGGTGGTAATGTTTGGTACATACTCTTCTTTTTTTTTAATTTTTATTTTTGTAACCCAGGGTGGCAGATGACTGGCTGTCCTCCCAGTCTGCCGTCACAGCATCCGCCTGGAAAATCTGTGAGAACTAACGATACACATGGGTCGCGATATTCGTCCTCTAGTCTGAGCAATGAATTCTGGTGCCTATTGTTACAGAATAGGAGTAACTAGCAGCATTTCATGAGAAATAACAACTACAACAAACAAGTTACGTTTATTATACAAATGTAGGCGTGCACACAGACAAATGTGCACCCCTGAACATTATCTGTGCAGTCTACTCAAACGGGAAGTCAGTTGAAAGGTTAAGCAAATGCGATGCGTGATCTCAAAGGAAAGCAGTCCATCCAAACGGTAATCATTCAATCTCAACGACATGCTAGTTCGACTATACCGAGTGTCTCAGATGTTCCCACACGAACTTAACGTGACAATTTGACTACACCAAGTGTGTAAGAAGATTCGCAATGAACCTAACATGGTAGTTCGACTATACCGACTGTTTCAGAATTTCGCCCATGAACTAAAGCGCCGAACTTGACTAAAGCTCACACTCAGCTAATTTAACAGTATTAAGGTTAAATTAGCTAAGCATCTGGCAATTTTTAATTTTTATATTATCTCCATCTACAGCCATATGGGATAGAGCTTCGTTGACATAATAGCTGCATCAAAGAAACAACGAATTATATACGTATTGTATGCCTGAGGAGTCACATTTATTTCACAGCACAGATAATTGACGAATAATCATAACATCATAAGGGTAAATCCACGATTGGTTGATGTATGCCTGAAAATATATGTCACAAACACTATCACATCATAAACAACGGAGCTTTCAATATCATTGTCTGAAGGATTTTAAAATATTGATTCTTATTGTCCTATACAACTAAAAAACACAGACTCGAAAACATTACGGAAGGATTTTCTCGACAACTTTTCTTTGCGATGTGAAACACAAATACAGCTAACAATTTTAATCTCATCTTTAGAGGTAAAATTAAAGAGCATCCTCCTTCGAGGCCTTGTAAACTGTTCACACGTTCCCTAAAACTTGTCCAACTGCAGCTTCCACGTCATTTTCTAAATAGCTTTCTCGCTGTTCCTGTGATTATGGCAATTAGCATAAATATGCAAAACGGAGACTATCGAACATTACAGTTCACGAATTGAATGCATAGTTCAATATGTCAACGCTTGGCAGCAGCACGTGTTTGCAGTTGCTATTTTGCAACCTCTGAAATTAGCATATAACCTAAGAAATTAAGAATTTTACTTCAAAATGAAGTTCCAGAGTGAGTACGTAAGTATGAGTAAAAAGTTGGAGTATGTTAGTATACTCCATGCAGCCAAGAATTGAAATTGAATCAAATTAATATATATGAACACGTTTGCTATTCCATCGTAAAAACGTATATGAAACAGCAGTGTTGGCTGCAACTAATGTGTAGTTCGCGAAGTCCTGCTTGGAGTGTTAAAGTAACAAACGTACAGCAGAAAGCTGATTATCCGAATTTATTAGCGACAAATGTGGTTCCAATAATAGAAAAGTTGGATAATTTGATTAAATACTGTCACTTGTGCGGGGTTCCGTGACAAATAATTAGTGGGTTGCAACTTTAGACGACGCTGTTTATTGGAGAATTACTCGTTTACACTCACAATTACAATCACTCTCAAATAAAGCCCTTATAGGCATATGGTGGTATGGTAGCATTCTATTTTATGGATCATTCTGTCGGCGCTGGTGATCATGTTTTATATAGTTAGTGGCCAACTTCGTAGAGATGGCAGGAGAAATGTGATCGTGACGTCACCACAGCCCACCATTGCCGACCAATAACGAAGATTTACTNGGGTGTTTACTGTGTACAATGGTGGAAGGCAGGGTGGCGTTTGCGTAGCAGAAATAGCATAAATGTCATCTATACAGCTATATCGACTTGTTCGTCTATGAAATGTAAGGGAGTCGTTTGATTAGGCTGCATAAATTATGTCTGGCAGTCAAGACACACAGAAGTCAGATAATTCGGACCTCCCAGAAACTGGAAGTGATGGAGGAGAAACTCAGAACGAAAGTCCACCGACAAATTTTAAACGAGCTGAAGGAAAGAAGTCTGATAAGCAGAAGAGTAAGATATATCGTATATATGCCTTTCAATTTCACTTATATTCCACATCGTAGTCGTAAACAGCATGCATTTCTGGAACACGATTAACCATAGAACCTAACCAAGTTTTCGTGGGCTTTCGTTGTATTTGTAGAGGTCGATACATAAGTAGAACCAACTTTCGAAGGTTCAGCTGTCCAGTAAATGTGACCCGTAATTTCTCATTCGCACATTTCCTACATACTTCATACCTCTAAGCGATAAACTACTGTCATTGTGTATTTGTTATCAAGTTATTTTAACATGCTCATGTTGACAATATAGGTGGCATCTGGTACTCATTTCCACCTAAAGATATGAAACGAGGTAAAAATGTAGGATCTGTAAGGAGAGCCTGAACACCAGAAGAGAGGGCTAAGGTATATAAATGGGATGATAGTATCATGATGGAGAGTGGTACATTCTGGATTTGGCTGATGACAGGGACAGTGATGGGCTTTTATGAACACAGTAATGAATCTTCAGGTTCCTTAAAAGACAGAGTTTTTTTGCTAGCAGAGCTTCTATAGGTTTTCAAGAAGGCTTTATCTCTGTGGTGTTCTTACACAAACTGAAAACTTCCCTATTCCCAACAGCCAGTGCAACTTATGATTTAATTCTCACTGTATTTAAGTTTTTCTTACAGTGCCATATGCTCAGTCAGTGTGACAACTGGGCTATAGGCTGGATGACTGAGGAATCAGGGTTCAGTTCCCAGCAGAGGGGCTTACCCTGCCTCCTGTTCAGTTGGTACCTGGGGTCCTTGCTCTATAGGCACAGTGATCATGTTTTGAAGCTGACTACTCATCTCCATCAACTGTTGAGATTAAGAATGATGGTGTGCAATAACTCCACTCCTCAATACATCCTCAGGGCATGGTGCATAATTTATCAAGCACAGGGACATCATTCTTGTGCCACCTACAGTCACTGAGCTGTACACACTGTCTGCAATTATTGTGATTCATGAAACATTTATTGTGAGGTGAATTCGTGCTAAGCAAACATGCACTTCACATTGTAAATAATGTAATGTAATGGATAGGTCATGTTAAACAAAATTCCAGCCCAAGTTTACAAACCATGTTAAGGCAGGCTCAAGCGGTTAGTCGCTAGCTTCCCACCGTGGCAACCCGGGTTCGGTCAGGTGGGATTTATGGTGGACAAAGTGGTGCTGGGGCAGGTTTTCTCCGAGTACTTCGGTTTCCACTGCCAATCTTCATTCCACCAATTGCTCCACAATCACCCTTACCTATCATCTGGGGCTCGTACAATAGGCCAGAAGTGGCTGCAGTACAAGGGACTTAGTCCTACCCCACTAGCAATAAAAAAAATGTTAAGGCAAACTTATGTTGCTAGAGCTCATGTTAGCCTGAAGCTGGGCATATTTCTGGGATGTAATGCCATGTGATATCATAATCATATCCCAGAAGACAGTACTTTGGGAAAGTCACCACTATGGCATCCTCAAATAGATTTTATTTAATCACAGCCAATCATGGTTGAATTGTTACCACCTTCGTTTCTTATTTGGAAGATCTGTGCCTGGGCACTGGCTATCCTGATAGGTCTTTCATGGTTTTCTCTACATAAATGCTGAGTCAGTACCTTAAATTAGACCATGATTGCTTCATTGCAAGTCCTTTCCAATTTATTTTTCACTCATCATCCCACCATTTAGTGCTGCACACTCTGAACTACTGATAGAATTGATAAATAAGCTATAAATAAATAAATTACTGTTTCTTCAGGAGCCGAGGTACCACACTGGTTATGAGTTGGATGACAGAGAATTCAGTATTGGAGTCCTGGTGGGATCAAGAAATTTATCCATGTCATCCAGACTAGCTCTGTGACCCAGCCAACCTCCTATCCAATGGGTACCGGGGGCTCTTTCCCCGGGAGTAAAGCGGCTGGGGTGTGAAGCTGACCACTCACCTCAAACTAGTGCCGACATCAAGAAAATGTGGATCTGTACAGCCACTCCCCATATGCCTTCATGGCATAGTTAAGTACAGGGACGACTTTAACTTTTACTGTTTCTTCTCTGTGTGTTCAAATTGTCAGGCTGGTTAGTAACTCCAGTCTTATCGCTTCACATCATGGGCCATGAAACCCTTGTTACAACATTTCAGCTTGTATTTGATTTGTTTATTTCTGGTCCGTCACACTAACAAATAGTCACACTGGACAGTGTTGTTTTCAGCTTGTAATTTAAATGGTACAGCCAGACATTTGTTGGTATATGTGTAAAATGCAAACAGAAGGCTTAACTATGAAAAGCACTATCTTCTGGGATGTGATGCAGTACAGTCCAGTAGAAGTTCACCATCGCTTTGGAAAAATGTATTGCCCCCCTCTTCATGGTCAAAGATGTGCCCACTACTTACATGGCTCAGTCTTCAACCCTGAAGATTGAGAGATCAGTGAACTTATACCAGACTGCACTGTGCCATATCCTGGAAGATTGTACTTTTCATTGTCACTGATGTAAGAACCTCAGATCTAACAAGTCTTAACTAACCTTTCATATGCCATAAAGGAGGTATATTTCTTTGCTACTAGTTTCTCCTCTGACCATCCTCAGTGTGTGACATTTGCAGTGAAACGTTTCTCTCAGTGTTTTGAGCTGTCAGTATATTATCACTTTCTACAGTAAGGTAAAAGGTAAAGCTGTCTCTGCAACAGGCCGTGGAGGCCCATAGGGTTGTGAGACCTCTAGGCTCCCACACTGTCTAGACAACGAGCTCACAGATGGTAGTGAGGTTGTCAGCCTTACATGCTAGCTGCCATTTACTCCTCAGGAAGATTCCTGATACTCATTTCTGTTAGAGGCTGAGTCCACCCAAGGGCCATAGTGCGGCTGGAAGAATTGGGAAAATTTACAAATCCAGTGACATTGGAATTGAAACCCGTGACTCTCCAGTTTGTAGCATAGTGCTTCAACCAAGTACACTACCACATGCCCCCCTTTCTATACAGTTAATGTGCCAATTACCATGAACTCTTTTTTTTTTCAGTTGACATACTCTTGAAAGCAACGGGAAATGCACCAATCATGAAGAAGAAAAAGTGGGCAGTAGATCCAGAGAGGAAGATTGGGTGGATAATTGAGTTCATGAAAAAATACTTGAAGCTGGATCGCTCAGAACATTTGGTAAGATTTAAAATAAGAGTTAAAATTTTTGCAAATTTATCCATATGTGACAAAGGATGAAAAATATATTTTTTAACCCACTGTTGGCTTACGTTACTTCCAGGATGTGGTTGGTTACTCTGTCCAAACAGTCATTCCACATATCTGAGATGTTTTGAAGTTTGTGCATAGATTATGTTGTTTCAGCTTGTCATCAGCACTGTGGCAGTCTTATGCTCTTCTGTCATGTTTCTGTCATGAGATGATAACATTGCAACAGCAGATTTTCCACCAATGGAATGCTTGCAATGGCAAGCAGGGTGCAATAATGACATCTTAAATGAATTACAGCTCAGCCGCCATTTCATTTTGTTATAACATGAAACCCTAAATCCAGATTGAGTCCAAGTTAAAGAAACATTCTTCTGGTTCCACTGAATTGAGTTTGTTCATCAGACGATATATAGACATCCATAAATTTATGAATTTAAGTGATAAGAAGCTCTGTGAAGAACTAATTGTGTCTACAAGATTTTAAATTATTCAGTGAGAATTTAGAAACTTCTCAAATATATAAACTGAATGCTATACCATCACACAGTTTCTTCTATCAAGGCCATGGAAGGGAATCCCATGGATGGTGGAGTTCATGGCACTTCAGCCTTCCAAAATTTCCCTACTACTGATTTCCCATCCACCCTTCTCTGACCTATATCAACCAGACTAAAATGCCCAGTGCTAGTGAAGATCATTGTACACTATCATTACCAGCATTTGTTTGTGAACAGAATGTTTTGATGACCACTGACATGTATTCATCGAATCTCACCCAGGACATGGTTCTTTGTTTTCTTCAGTCCCTCCAAGCAAATCCCAGGATAGTACCTTGAACAAGACATAACCACATCCTTTCCAGATCATCAGTTGTCTTTCACCATACCATTTGACACACCACAGAGTCTGGATAGTGACAGTGCCATAATTTGGGGTGAAGGGAGGAGGCATAACGACTATAAGGAGTTTTGGAAGTTATTGATCTTCAGTACTTCTTCCAGTGCCATCGGTATGAAATAAGAATCCAGTACCTTGAATTTTGTCAGAGTAACTGAAAAGATTCCTGTGTCCTGACAACACCGGGCGCTTTAACCTGCTTCTTTTGACAACAGGATGTTTAACTTTTCACATGAATTTAGCAATATTGAGGGCTCTGAAACCTGACCGCATCAAACCCAAAATGTTTTATTTGCTGTACCATAGATGTAGTTTACTTACACACAAAATTGTGATAATTTTGAAGCGTTTATTTTTGAAATCTTAAAATTTATGCTGTATTGATATCTGACTTCCTCGTACGTCTCCATGGCATGGTGCTTAATTAAGTGAAAGAACAACTTTACTTTTGCCATGGGTATTTTGAGTAGATCTATTCAAATACTATTTCAGCAGAACAATACCCTTTCTACATTTTATGTTAATATGTTAAGTTCAGCAGAGGATGTTTAAATCTACTCTGTTACAGACAGCAAAGAATTAATTTCCTATGTTACACCTCAGGGGGAGGGGGTGAGAACTTATGAATACTTTCGTCGGTTATTACTCTTTTGCTAACATCTACGTTGCACTCGACTGCCGTCGTCTGTCTTGGCTAGGGAAGCTCGGGCTCGGTTGAGGACAGGATGGTTACTAACGGGTGAATCAGAACTCCCTGCATACATTTTCCAATATGTACACTGTCTATTTACAATAATAAATACATTAAGAAAAAGGCCTGCTCTTATCTGTTGACATGACACTTCTCGCTAAACTCATTCTACCGTCCTAGTTTATGGAGGGGAGGTGCCCTGAAACTTTACTCCTATCATCGTCTGTCACTCTCCGTTCATTCCTACCCTGTTCTACCCTGGCTCTCACTTGGTTCACTGGATACTGTCTCATTATCTCACAATAACACTTGTATTAACAACAACCTTTAACAGCATGGCGTATATGAGCAAAGAGACTTACTTGCAATACACATGTAGATTACTGCCGTCATCCACCCTCTTATGGTATACATGTCGCCGAGAGCCTCCGGCGGACAACTCAATATTCTGTGATAGAACGTCCTCAAATCCCCCGAAATTCCCTAATTTATGGTTTTATTTCGCTGATTCAGCGTTGACGACAGAGGGTAGGTAACTCCCCCTCAGTGTCCTCAATCCTCATAATAACCTCCTCATTGGCTCTCATGGGTGGTTGTGGGCGGACCCCCTTGCGTCTTATTGCTGTGTAAGCAGTCTCTTACGATTTAATCCAGTGAACTAGTGAGGTAAGCTATTGCTCTGCGATTACATAGACATGCTGCGCATTCACATTCTTAACCTAATTGCCAGTCCTGGTGTTTACAATTTACGGCAATAACTGCGAGACGCTTTTCGCAAGTCTCTAGCTTTTGGGTAATCCCATACCCTCTTCAATCTCAAATTTGGGCCATAATATCCTACTAAGCCTTTTATAGAAAAGAAAAGAGCAGTGATAATAGTAAATTGCTATCATAAGTAGTTATTCATTGACCCTTTCCCCGCAGATAAAGGGACCAGGGAATGAAGCTGACCACTCCCCCATAAATCTTCATGGCATAGTGATTAGTTAGGGACAGCTTTTATCTTTTATACTTTTACCATGTAAAGATTACATAAATATTTCTAGGGAAGATCAAATCAGTGTTTATATCTGAAAGAAGCAGATATAGCCAATCTTTGCATGGGATATGGCTGCTTTCCTTGTCAGTAGCAAATGTGTAGTAGATGAAACTTAAGAAGGAATGACATTCAAGTAAGAAATTAAATGTTTACTCATACAGTTACTGAAAATAAAGATTAGGAATAAGAATTCAAATTACGTTAAAAAACTTGACCACAGTACTTGCACATCACTGTAACAGCTCTGCTGCTGAATGGGTAGGTGTGGCAGTAAGCCAGTATAGAATTCCATTCAAGAGGGGCTCGGCTTGCACATTAGCCTGGATTCCAGCTATCCTGACTGAGGTTGTTCCTCAATCCTTCCAGGCAAATGATGGGATAGAATGTGGATTATGCCACCGCCACTTCCATCAAAATCCTTTCCAACTTGTCAGTCATTCTACCATTTGGCACTATATAATATAGATACTGACAGGGCCATTAAGTGAACCCCCCACTCCCCCACCCTCAAATCTATGTCTACTGTTCATGTTATCAAGATTACAAAGGTAAATTTTGTAACATCTGGGGAGTGTTCTCTATTTGGTCCACAGTAGGAAACAGAGAAGTTCAATGTTAGAGCACTGTTCTTTCTTATTGCAGTTCCTGTATGTTAACCAGTCATTTGCCCCGGCACCAGACCAGGTTGTGAAGAATCTCTATGAATGCTATGGAACAGACGGCAAACTTGTTCTTCACTACTGCAAGAGTCAAGCTTGGGGCTGAATCATCACACACACAATGCCTGTTTCCTAATTTAAGCGTAAAATATTATGTTCTTACAGTAATCTTGTATCTGTCATAGATATTACAGTTTTAAAATTCTCTTCTAAGTATGATGTATGAAATTTCTGAACCAAAAGCATGGCCAGCATTTCTTTTAATATATATGTATATTATGGAAGATATACAACAACAGTATGGTGTATTTTTGTTTATCTGAATTATATGTTGTACATATTGAATTGTTGAGTTAATCTGCATTTAATGTTTTAAATGTAATGGTATCAGACACTGCTAAAACAAACTGCACCATTAAAACATTAAACACCATATAATTATAATGTTTTGCTAATATACTGTATTATTATAATAAAATATATTGAAAAAAATGTATATTTTATTTTCAGAGCCTGAAATAAATACAATTTTTTAGTTACAGTTTTCACTTTAATAAAAATAAAGGAATGTTTTACCTCCATGAAAGCAGATGAGATTGACATTATTTAATTTTTATGGCTTCACTCAAACTCTGAGAGTACCACAGCTTTCATGAGTCCAGACTGAACAGTCCAGTACTATTCTTAAAGCACAAGGCACATGGAGCTGACGTGGGATTATAAACACAGGATCCTACAGTTGACATTCTATGCACTGTCATGCATACTTTTGTTGCTTTCTTTCCACTCTTGGCAGCGGCAACGTTGTTTTCAAGTACATAGTTACATTTTCAAACAGAATATATATCCTTTTGGTCTCATAGAGTATTTTTCTGACTTTGAAATATTCTGACTTCACTGTTTGATGATACACCACCACTCTTTGATGTCAGTGGCTTTTGGCAGGCACCTTACTTTGGAGCACCATTATTTTTTAGTGTGTTACCACTCTTTGGTGTACCATTACTTTTTAGTGTGTTACCACTCTTTGGTGTATCATTACTTTTTGGTGTACCATTACTTTTAGGTGTGTTACCACTCTTTGGTGTACCATTACTTTTTAGTGTGTTACCACTCTTTGGTGTACCATTACTTTTAGGTGTGTTACCACTCTTTGGTGTACCATTACTTTTTGGTGTGTTAGCACTCTTTGGTGTACCGTTACTTTTTGGTGTGTTACCACTCTTTGGTGTACCATTACTTTTTGGCGTGTTAGCACTCTTTGGTGTACCGCTACTTTTTGGTGTGTTACCACTCTTTGGCGTGCCTTCCCCGCCTTCAGTGATTATATTTCTGACACTGTTAACATGCTCCTCTTCATATGTGCAAACCTCTCCAAGCTTCCTCTCTTCCGTGCCATCACCTTTGCTGCCTTGCACACTTCTTGCACTATCCAGTGTTTCTACTTGCCCACTGCTTCCTTCTCCTTCCCGCTCTGTTGCCCCTTGCTTGCTGCCTATGCTACGAGTGCTTCTGGAGGAATGGCTTCTAGACTGCTGACTCTCTTGCAACCATTTTTTAACAACTGGACTTTTCCATTGGAATATTCCTCCATCAGAGCTGCCACTGATAATGTGACGATTATCTGGTGAGAATCGTACAGCGGTGATTACGCTGGCATGGCCAGTACCTATGTGAGTTGGTATGCCTTTGTGGTAGTTCCATACCTGGCAGAGAAAACATAATTAAATTCCAGGTACACAAGTAGTTACTATAGGATTCTGACGATGGTGTACAACACACTGATATGTTGGGATTTTGGACTTTATCCATCGTCCTGGTTTTTAAGATAACAAATAAAAACACGACGTTTCGGCAGATCTATCTATCCTGGTTCCACGCTTGTAAGTGTTTGCTACAATTTGTTATGAATATTTTTCTTATTAGCTCTCATGGACTTAGCCTGGTCTCAGGTGTTTATAATCTTCATGTTTTGTGACATTGGTTTGTCCAGTGATTGAGGCTAGCTCTTTCTAAGGGACCCAACTGAATAGGTGTTTTCCTTCACCTGAGGACGGAAACAGATCCAGTTTCCGAAACGTCGTGTTTTTATTTGTTATCTTAAAAACCAGGACGATGGATAAAGTCCAAAATCCCAACATATCAGTGTCCAGGTACACAGTTTTGTATAATGTATACAGTAGCTGTAGCTAACTATACGGTACAGCTAAATGTCCAGGAGAATTTAATGTGCCACTGTGGGAGGAATAAGAACATGGAAAAGAACCACTTGACTTGTTAAAAATGAAAGGATTCTATTTGATGGGGTGTTTTGACACCAACCTTACCTTCACATACTGATCATTTCCTCCTGTTAAGATATGCTCTCCATCTGTGGTGATTTCAATGGCATTAAGCCCACTGGAAGTAGAACCATCTATTTCCCTTATCAAAGAACCATCATAAACCTCCCAGTAACCAATTTTGCAGTCAGTTCCTGTGGTGACTACCTGAAGGTCACTCGGATGGTAGCAAACACCCATAAACTGAGTGTTGGCAAACAGGCTGTGCTTCCGTGTCAGTCTCCTGCAGAATGGAATAATCCAATAAAATAAGATGTCAAAGATAACAAGACTGGAAAGCATGTACTCCATAATACATATATACTACACAAGATTATTAATGGCATTCTTTCAAGTTTATTAAGCCTGATTAAAAATGGAAATAATGAAATGCAGATTAGCTAAAGTCTCCCATATCGAATTACAACAGAATCAGAGAAACAGTTTATGGGATGCATGGGCAATTCCATTTATGTTTCCATGTAAACAAGGCATTATTGAGGAAAAATAATGCTGAAAGTTGGAAATGTGCAAACACCTTTACTGAAAGTCTGTCATATGAAATTTTAAGATAGTTTTTGCAATGGCTTATGTGTCAAACTATGTCACACACAGACAGACGGACTTACATGATATCTACATAGAAAGCACCAAAAAGGAGATGAAGCTAAGGGAGAACATGATAAAATAAAAATGTTAATATTTGATAGGTGAGAATTCATTTTTGGTCTACTGTTCTAGTAATGGAAGGATATGTACAGAGATTCAAAGTTGGAAGGTGCCATAGCTTGGGTAGTTGGTTGCCAGTTTCACACTGCAGAGCTCTGGATTCAAACCCAGGTCACTTCAAGTGGGATTCATAGTGGACCAAGTGGTACTGCAGTAGATTTTCTCAAAGTATTTCAGTTTCCTCTGCCAATTATCATTCCACCACTGTTCCATATTCATCTTTCATCCAGGGATGATACACAATAGACCCATTCATGAGCCCAACAAGAGCTCAAATGAAGCTGTGGCAATGAAAATAAGGGATCTGGTTTGGGCGGTGCAATTCATGTGAAACTGACTGTAGATGCTGGCAAAGCTAAGTGCACAATAAAACCCCTTACACTATGTCCCATATTACGCATGTTCCATCTGAACTTGCGCTGATGGCTTCTGTGTCTGAGCTGGATATCCGGATACAGGACACCGGGCCTCTGTGTTCCTGCAGGATGCCTTCCAGCTTCTGGTATGTGGGTTTAATCTCCCAGACTCTCACCTGAATACAAATGCAATAAGGGAGCAATGTACGAGGGTAAGTCAATAAGTAAGTTACAAATGGATATAGAACTTGAACAAATAAGAGTACTGATTTGAAAAATCCTTTTATTTCTCAACATAATCTCCCTGTACATTGAGGCACTTGCCCCATCGTTTCACCAGCCCCTGAAAACCAGCAGCATAAAATTCTTTGGGCGGCTGTTGGAACCAGGTGTGTTCACATGGCATGGCCTATTTCGTAATGCATGACAGGTTAGGTTTTCACAAAGTCTGTTCACGATGGGTGTTGTGCATGCTGACCCCACAACACAAAATGCAAAGAATGGGTCTCCCATTATAGCATCTCAATAGCTACCACGATGAAGGATACGATATGATAGCCCAAATTGTCACAGGTGATGAGTCTTGGGTTCACCATTACCAGCCCGAGACAAAGCATGCATCAATGCAGTGGAAAATACCTGCGTCACCTGCCAAAAGTTTAGGGTGACACCATCCTCCAGAAAAGTGATGCTCACAGTCTTCTTGGATCAGGAAGGCATACTGCTCACCGCATTCCAGCCTCAAGGACAAACTGTAAATGCTGACTCCTACTGTAACATCCTCAGGAAACTTCGTAAGGCCATTCAACGGAAGCGTGCAACCTGTCATGCATTACGAAATAGGCCATGCCATGTGAACACACCTGGTTCCAACAGCCGCCCAAAGAATTTTATGCTGCTGGTTTTCAGGGGCTTGTGAAACGATGGGACAAGTGCCTCAGTGTACAGGGAGATTATGTTGAGAAATAAAAGCATTTTTCAAATCAGTACTCTTATTTGTTTAAGTTCTATATCCATTTGTAACTTACTTATTGACTTACCTATGTATGTTGGGTCTGAGGTTCTCACAGCAGCGACTGTGGAGAATGCTCTCTTGTGAGAGTAACGGCCATGTAATCCAGAGGAATCAGAGGAATCTTCAGGGAGATTCTACTGAAACACTGGTGAGCACTGAGAGCACTGAGTTATTCATGGCAGTGAATATTAAGATGCCAATCTTCTGGGAAGTGATACTATTTAGTCTGGTAGACAGGTACCTGATACCATGGAGCTTGGTTGACAGGTACCTGGCACCATATAGTGCGGCTGACAGGTACCCAACACCATGTAGTTTGGTTGACAAGTACCCAACACCATGTAGTTTGGTTGACAGGTACCTTACACTACATAGTCTATTAGACCAGTACCTGACACCATGTAGTCTGGTAGACAGGTACCTGACATCTAGTTTGATAGATGTATCTACCCAAATACACAGCATCATATCCCAGAAGATCGTGCTCTTCACAGTATCATTACAGCACTCCTATCATGTCACATAGGAATCAAGTAATTTCACAGAAATCCAATTTAGTTTCAACAGATACATTATCTAAGTATCTTGGAATCAGTTGCATGCAATAGTTTCATAAGAGCTCAGTGTTGTTGATAAACCAGTGACTATTTGGTTCACTTACTTGTCCTTCACCACCGCCACTGACAATGCGATGACCACCAGTTGTAATGGCTATTGCAGTTACTCCTTTACTATGTGCATTGTGAATCTCATATATGAGACGCCCAGTCTGAGGTGTGAACGCTCGGATCTCTCCGTCATTCCAACCTACACACACAAAGAAATTCTTGCAGTTAGTGAGTTTCACACAAGTGGTCACCTGACTATTGGAGTGTTCTGTCTCCATTACTGAGTGGGAATGAGATAATGCAATTCCTGATTCTCCATGTTGTGTTGCACTATCTCTACACACTTCCACAAGTTTACCTTACTTGCAAGTATGAGATTTTGAATGTGTTTTGTTCTGCGTCACATTTATACTGAAGTTGATTCACTAAATTCTAAACCAGTTCCCTAAAAACCATGCTGAAGGACATCATACACTTCAATACTCAAGCAATAAAGTGAATGTATCACATTCACTTGTTTCAAAGCAAATTAAATGTTATCTTCAGAAGCAGCATTGTGCATCAGCATAACTTGAAGCTCCAGATTCACATATTCTTTTATTCACAGTTTGACGATGATGATGCGAAGCCACTGACTCACTTTAGCACTGTCAAACTCTATCCAGCAAGCGTTACTACAGAAACATCAGTGGGTTCTGAGGTTCTCATGGCAATCATAATGAAGATTACTGTTTTCTGGGATACGATGCTATATAGTCTCATAGATGTGTACCGATGTTTCAGAGGAAGGGCTTCCTTGAAGATATTCCTCCGTTAGTCAGGGGATGCTTCGTTCAAATCTCAGCTAGGACAGCTACGATGACTGAGGTTCATGGTTTCTTCAGTCCCTCCAGGCGAATGTCAGTGAAATACCTCAATTACTCCATGACTGCTTCCTTCCAAATCTTTTACAATTAATCATTCATCCTAGAGTTTGATGCTATATAGTCTAGCTACTGAGTGTCATAAAATAACCCACAAAATAAAACAAATACTGTTACATCCCAGGAGACAATAATCTTCAGAGTGTTCTTCTTTGGCTTATAGAAGTGAATAGCAGTACTGCAGGCAAAGGCAAAATATGGACTCTGCCAGAAGGAAAATAACACATGAAACAGAGCTGTCTGGAGGCTCTGCATCCATTCAGCACCCTTTAGAAGAAACCACAATGGAAGAAGAAAATTTATATCTTTCTATCCAACTTTATAAATTCAATGCCCCTTAGTTAGTTAGTTATTTGGAGAGGGTGGGTTTCCCCATGCACCGCGACCAGTTTGATCTATTGTGCTTCCCTCTATGATAGTCTACCAGTCTCTATACCCTACTGATAAATGGTGCGTACCATCAGTCCCGCCAAGCAAGCGAGTTCGGCCACTTGCTTAGCGGTGTCTATAATGCTTCCCCCATCTATCAGAGGCCTTAGAGACTACTTTTGGGCGGGAAACGTCCTGGAATTTGGCTCAGTGATCCCCTTTGGGGATATGAGGTTCTTTTATGTGCCGTAAAGTTACAACATGGGACACACAGCTTAAAGTCCCTCCCAGAGGACTTGTTCCCTGAATTTTTCCGCCCTTAAAAATTCGACGACCTCCGCCGGGTATTTGAACCCGCGTACCACGAGTCGTGAGGTGGGAACGTTACCTCTAGACTATGGAGGCCGCTAATTCAATGCCAGAGTATGTTTACAAACCAAGTGTTATACTCACATGATTGTTTTTTACATTCTTTGACATCTCTTCTAGTGGTTTGTCTATAGGATCAACAGAAAGATGGTGCATTATGCTTTCCCATACTGCACCAGAATGTTTTTTTTCTAACTAATTAATTTTTAATTAGTAAGATTTAGGTTGAAAATACAAAGAATTGGAAAGGATTAAGAGAAGCTTCCAGGTTTCAAATTATGGCTGGATGTTAGGAACCTGATGACACAGCATATTATATAGTCAAACAAGTTCATTCTTTTGTTTTTTATTTTCATTCAGCTTTGTGTTTTGGCTGTGGCACTGTGCTACAAGCTGGAAGGTTGTGCGTTCAAATCCTGATGAGGTCATCGGATTTTTCAATTGGCTTAATCTTTCCAGCCACATTATGGCCCGAGGGTCAACTCAGCCTCTAACAGAAACGAGTACCAGGAATCTTCCAGGGGGTAAAGGGCGGCTGGCTGGCGCATAAGGCTGACAACCTCACAGCCATCTATGAGCTGACTATATAGAAAATGTTGCAGCCTCAACATCTCACAACCCTATGTGCCTCCACAGCCTGTTACAGGGATAGCTTTATCTTTTTTTTTTTTTAACATGTTTCATTCTGATTGGCCTTCTCAGGTTGATGGCACATTCATATTCGCTCAACTGTTTCTTCTATCCACTGACCAATGTCTACATTAAATTTAAAATTGATGGTTATATGAGGTATTTCTTAGAAACTTGTCAGTGGTTAAGACATCATAAGTGAAGACCAGAAAGGAAACATGTTGACCATTTGAAATTTTGTTATAGGTTGTTGTGTCAAGTATGTCACTTGGTATTATTTTTTTTGCACTTATCATTGCTAAAACTGTTTTTTTTTTTTAGATTCCTAAGTTTTTGCTGTTTTTGAAAGTTGCTGCAGTTTGCAATATAACGTTGGAAATGTTGTCTGACATGGCAGTACTGCATATGTATCAGAGTTCCTCTTACGTATGTGTGCTGAATTTCACTGTTCTGTCACTGTCCGATTTTCATTGTTTGTGATGGGATTCACTATAATTTGGTGTGTAATATTTTTTTTCTCTTCTTGATTGTTTTTGTCTGTTATGGAATGGTGAATGTTTGTTGTTCCCCTTGTTCATTCTAGATGCTGTCACTGAGGAAGTTTGTGTGTGATTGGCTTTTCTTCTCCCCTCTGAACAGAATATCCAGTGCACACTTACCACTTATAATGGATTTTCCATCACATGTAAATTGTATCCCAGTGCATGTGAAATTAGCAACCGTGATGCGGAGCAGCTCCAACGAAGTTTCAGTGCTCCAGACTCTAATATCATCCTTACTACAAGTGGCAAACACCTCTGAATATTCACTGCGAACAGAAAACAAGATCTTGACATACAAAATAAAATATATAATGAAGTTTCTTGATAAATATGTAAATACTTCTTGCATGTAATAGCCAGAACCTTCATTATGTATATTGCAGGGGTAAAGTATTGTGTGAGGTCTGTAAAGGGAGATTATGTTTCCAATAAGGGCCACCTGAAATGCACACGGTTTATACCCATGCTTAACCAGGGCTGTAGTCAAGTCAAGGCGGTACCCTGATGCATTTTTAATGCTGGAGTACTACCCTGCCACATTTTTTAAAGACAGTGATGAGCAACATTAAGTTGTTATAGCTTGTTTACTTTCTGAGCCTCAGCCCTTTAAGTATGTGCATTTCATAAACTTACAATCATTCATTTCTGCATTTGAAAGTGTAAAGCTACAATTACATGCTGGGAAAGGCTTCATATCATGAATTACGCTCATTTCTTTATCCTGGAACTGCATAGCAGACTGTCCTGGCATTTCTATACCTACGCCCCTGCATTTAACATTTTTATCTCTGAATTATTAGCACCAAGCCATATTTCCTCTGCTAAATTATTTTTTCAGTTTTCTTTGCACATGGGAATTAAGAAAAATTGAGCAGAAATTAAGCTAATGTGTACTGACTCTTACTTTTTTAGAATACTTGTTGATGCCATTTTTATTATCGCTGTGCCAGCCAGGGTCAAGTGATATACTGTTCAAAATCATATGAGTTGACTCCAATGACCATGCTCCTGGCTTGGACTCACGAGAAGCCTGATTCAAATCTCAGTGAGGACAATGAGTAGTCTGATTGAAGATTTTCATGGTTTTCATTTTATAAAACGCAAAAGTTCATTACCATGTTCACAAAAGCCTGCCACTGGGTTCTGTGGTAGATGAATCCAATCCAGACCCTCCCATACTATTTCTTTAAGATCCATCTTACCACCAGTGTCCCCATTTTCCTAGAGATGTCCCTTCCTTCAGGTGTTCTAACAGAAATTTTGTATGAGTCTGTGATCACCCCCATATCTGCTACATTCTCTGCTCATCTGATCACGCTATGAAAGAAGAGTACGGTGCTCCTGGTTGTATGTTATGCAGTTTGCACAGTATCACCTCCATTTTCAGGCTTGACAAAGAAGCCAAGAAAGATCTGAGGTTCTTACAGCAGTGGGCATGAAGAGCAGTCTTCTGGGATATAACACTATGCAGTCTGTTGAAAGTCAATCGATGTTTCAGAGGAACATATCGCCTCCATCTTCAGGGTCCAAGAATAATATGGTCTGCCCCAAAATATCAGTTGACTTTCAATGGACTGCATGGCATTATATTCGAGAAGACATATCCCTTCAAGCCAGGGGGAAAATAACAGCAGAATCACACAGCAAGCTGACCAGGTTTTCTCAGAAAGATACAGCACTACAATACAAAACACTGTACTTTTCATAGTCACCAGCTTAAAAATATCAATTCTAACTTTCTAAATGCTAAAAGTTAAGAAGATCTTCATTATGCAATTTTCTCCATTTTGCTATCACTTCCTCCACACAGTTACCAGTTTAACCCTTTAAAGCCCAGTGGTTGCTATATGTACCACCTGCTTGAACATACAAAAACTCTGCATTCAGCCCACAACTGTATTTGTATGTTCTGTATGGTTCTCACAATAAACAGCGACATTTTCTCTACACAGTATTAATGGGTTGGTCTCTGTAGTGAAGGTGTAATGTGTTTCCTGTGATGTACAGATGTGATTCTTATATAGTATTTAGAAGAAACTCAGTCTTTAAAGGGTTAAGCACCAAAGATGATAAACAGTTCATCACAACTGTTCAGTTTCTCTCTCATCCATGTATCATAGCCCAGTCTTCACTGAAGTGTCAGTACTTACTGTGGGAAAGCAATATCATGGATGGCATGCTTGTGGCATGTTACATGTAGCTTCACCTCAAATGTCTCTACATCAATGGTGAAGATTTCACTCAACATGGTACCCACAAAAATTGTCATATGCAGCATTTGCAGTGAAGTTGGCGCAGAATTTACAGTAGTAGATTTTAGCTGTATAACAAACAAGAAAAGTGCCTCACTGATTTATAAAGTAACCTTTTCAGCTCATGAGTACATGAGTGAGTTGGCATTTGCATTTGGTAACACAGCATTCATCGCTTGCCTAAATATGGTAACACTAATACATAACACTGCACTAAAAAATAAACGTTATCCCTGGTCTAGGGGGACCTGTGAAGATAAAGCTGCATCTTTCTTTAACCTTTGCATTAGGTGAAGGAGAATGGCTACCTCCAGGCTCCAGCTGCAAGACAGGATACCTTCTATAGGTTCTGATGATGGTACAGAACATGTCCTGGAAACTGAATATGTTTCCATCATTTGGTGAAAAGGGGAACTACCAACTTAGATGGGGCCATTTTAAGTCACTGATGTCAATCATTGGATCATTTCAGTCTCTGAAATGTAGTGTCCTAATCAGAATACTGAAGGAAGGACAATGTCTAGAAATCCTACATGACATGCTGTAACTGTACTTCCCATGCTTAACATTCTTTAACTATGGCAACGACAAGTCCACTTATTGTCCCACAAGAATGAGAGGCATATATTGACCATCTAATTCTCATTCGATACAATCCTCCTTAAGCTTGTAGCGACAAGGGTGGTCATGGAGACAGGATCATATGCTTCATTTGAGGCTGGTATCCTCTCCATGGCACCACCATTGTCATTAGTATCATCAGTTTACTTTAAGTATTATCTTCCGTCATGCTAGGCAGGTATTTTGGGGAATCAGTCTCTGATTTGATGCTCAGCAAAACCTACTTGCGCTTATACCTTGAAACCTGAAGAGAAAGTTTAAGATAAACATCTCCTCATCAAACGAAATGCGGGACAGCATCCCAGCATGGCCCTTGGCTGTCTCCTTTTTCTGTTCATGACTATTTAGGGCCTGATAACTGGAAGAACTACCTAAATATTATGAAAGAAGTCTCACCTGGGGGGAGAGAAAAGTGAAGAACAGTTTAAGTCAGAAAAGTTATGCAGTCAGTTATAGAGGAGTGACAAGTTAGTTGCAGTTGGAGACATTTACAGTGAGTAGTGAGTGGGCAGTGAGATTTGAGTTCTTTAATGGGAGTTAAAACAATATTAACGATGGAGGTGTAATCGGTGAAGTGCAAGCTTAAAGGAGAGTTAGTATAACATACCAATAGTCTCTGTATTCATCATTTAACTAAATGCTAGAAATACATGGTGTTATGTTCTGGTGATCCTGTGATTCATAACTCCTGAAGTGTGTTCCCATCCCAGTCACTGAAGCACCCGTACCCCTGAGACAAGTATCTCATATCTACTAATAATTGTGGAAAATATATTATCAACACTGCTGGCAGCTACGCATCACCCAGAGGCTGATATCTTCTTTGGGACGGCTGCTGTAAGGGCGAGTAAAGTGCTTTGGATAGGAGGCAAAGCAGTTCCAAAAGTTTGTCTCTATATGATGGCATAGCATGAAATACTGTCCTGCCAAAAGTCAAACCCCTGTTATGCAGTCTACTGTGGTCATTTTGGTTACTGGACTATCCCAGCTGCTCATACCAAACATTTCTAATTTAGTGCCACAATGTCCCAATTCAGACACAGACCCTGTGTTACAGAGGTTTTTGGCATTCTTAATGGGATAAGTGGGCAAATTCATCAGACACTTCATCGGATTATAGCAAAGCCACAAGCGGCCTCTGTAATCTAGGGGTAACGTTCCCACCTAACTCAAGGTACACGGGTTCAAACCAGGCGGAGGTCGTGGAATTTTTAAGGGCAGAAAAATTCAGGGAACAAGTCCTCCGGGAGGGACCTTAAGCCGTGGGTCCCATGTTATAGATTTACGGCACGTAAAAGATCCTCATGTCTCTAGGAGACCTCTGAGCAAAGTTAGGCAAGTTTCCCACCCAAGTAGTTTCCAATGCCTCTGGTAGATGGGAGAAGTATCGAGGTACCAGGGGCCGACCTTGTTGGCTGAACGGGGCTGATAGCACGCACCAGTACCTGTAGGGTATGGCGACTGGTAGAATATCAAAGGGGGACGTACAATAGACTATTAGTCGCGGTTCGTGGGGAAACCCACCCCCTCCAATAATAATAATAGCAAAGCCACTCTTATAAAAAAAAAGAATACAGAAAAATGTGGGCAGACATCAATGTCTGTTCTGGGATATGAATCTATGTGCAGCCTATGACTGTGTTACACCACAGACTGACATCAAACAGCCATCCACAATTCAAGACTGAAACCGCCTTCCACTTCAGAAATTTTCTTTATGTTGTTTGCACATTGCATTCTCCATGCATTTGATCTGTTACTGACCTCCTCACCATATATGCTCACCAATGAAACGTACTGTGGCATATTTTCAAAAGGCAAGAACTGTGAAGCCAGCAGAGACAGCCTTTACTAGGGCACAGCTCTGCAAACACACCTGTTGCTAGGCAACAGATTCGTAACACGTAACAATGGAGTAACTGCAAAACAGTGATTTTGAAGAGGCATGTGACAGCATTAGGTATGGTATGGGTATAAATAGGAATTTAATTGCAATGAAGTAATTTTTAACAATTTTAATTCTATTTTTACACAGTTACAAGTTGACCTGACTTGGAATATAAATTTGCAAAGTGATTATTATTTACAGTTTCAGTGGTTTTCTGCATGAATGTGTATGTGAAATTCACCTAATGATGGTCAGTTCAATAGAGCTGACTGTGTCTTGTGGAATGAGGTTTCTGTGATGGTATAGCATGATTGTCTACTAGCTTCACAAACAAGATACAAAATTATAAAATTATATAGATAATGACTTCTGTTTTACTCACTACCAATAACTGCGGAAGAGACGGCATTTTGACCTTGCGGAGAACGCTGGGTGCTGGTAATGTAGTGTTAACCAGTTCCTTCACTAGTTCAATAGTTCCATCCCCACCTCCAACAATAATTTGGCATTTTGTATTAGTAGACCATAGATGGAGGGCAGTTACGCCTGGAACAAATATTCAGAAACATTAGTGTTTACAAGAAAACATAGAATGCCCAAGTGCATTCTTCATTCTTAGCTGATAATTCAATAACCTTCTGTTTACTGCATGTTTTCTTCAAGAAGTTTCTTTTGTTGCATTACATCTTCAGATTTGCAGCATAACATTAAATCTAGACTACATACATACATACAAAAAAATTAAAACATGGGTGCCACTGGAGATGGGGGTGCCAGGGGGAAGAGGGCACAAGGCATCTCCTCCCTTTTCCTGAGTCTGAAGTTAAAACAAATGAAGAAAATAAGGTAATATGCCATATGTAATAATAAAAATTGGAAAATAAAATAAAATGTTCTTCTGTCCTGAATAGAGTAGGACGATTAGCAAAATAATCCTTAATGTCTTGAACATTAGCTTTTAAGATTAAAACTTATTTCTTTTTAATTTGGTAATTTCACACCATGACATCTCATTTATGGATACATTAACGTGAGATGTTGAAAATACATAAATATAAATTTCACGTCCATATGTTTCATAACAGAGACCTAAGAGAGAACACCCAACAGTATTATGAAATTAACCCTTATATTTGTCAATATGTATGGTACCCATCTCTGTTACAATGATGAGTTCCTGAACACAATTTGAATCCTAGTTCCAAATGTTTTTTGATTACATGGGTAAATTTCAATTTCATATTTTGAGTGTTATTCCTTCTTTAAAATTTTAGCTGCTGTTTATTGTGACGCTCACAAGGAAACAGGCCACATCCTGGGAAAAGAATGGGTATGTTTTGTATTTCATAATATAACAACAGTATTGTATACAGTGAGTATAGACATGATAAATCTAGTCCTCTACTTAACTGTCTAACACCAAGGGACAGAATACTTGCTGAGAAACTGACAGTCACTCAGCTACTTAAGAAATTCCATCCTTTGTGAAACCTGAAGATGCATTATTATATTTACTGGAGCCTACCACTGGATCATCTTATGAACCAATTAGTACTTCCCAGAACAACTATAACTGTGCCATCATTATCTCTTCTTTCCCCACTGACATCTGATTGCAATGTCTTGATTTTCCCCCAATGCATCTAGCTTGAACCATCTTGCAGAACTGTCACTGAACAAACTGGCTCAAGCAGTAACACTCCTCTCTTGCATTTGGAAGATGGTGGTTCAAATCTCAATGAGGACAGCAAGTATTCTCCATGAGCGTTTCAGGGCATCTTTCAGTCCCTCAAGATTAGTACCAAGAATATAACTTCAAATTATGTAATGATTGCTTCCTTCCACATCTTTTCAAATTCAGCATTCACTATTATCCATTCTGCGCTACAGAGTCTGAGTTAATGCTGATATCATCAGATAAACTATACAAATAAATAAATATTAATGAAGTCAGAATACCTTAAGGCTGATACATTACTTAAAATGAGCACAGCAGATAAATCAAAGTGTCTGTTAAAGTAACAACACAAACTCACCCTGACTGTACCTGGCAGGCTCTTCTCCTGCCAACAATTTCTTCCTTCCAACATATTTTCCAAAACAACCAAGGAGAACTGGATTTGTAACTGGATCCAAGATATTAACATCAGAATCATAGTTAAGCTTAACTTTCACAACATCTCCTGTTGTTGTACCACAATAAGCAAACATATCCATTTCATCAATCTGAAAGAGAAACAAATTGCTTATATCAGTGGTTTTCAATGGGGACCACGCAGTATTTTGGATGGGCCATGGAAACTCTTAAGTGGGCCACGAAAATTTCACTTATAAAATAAAATTATTAATAATATAAAATGAAATGAAAATGCAAAATGGTTGGTACATATACATAACTCAACATCCATGTTTTTGTGTGCCTTACTTAGAAGGGACAGAACCTATTGTACTTAAACCACAAACTTAGATCTGGGAATTCCAAATACTGGTGAACAGGTACTCACCTTCTTGGAGCAGGTATAGCCCTAACAAAATGGTTAACTAGAAAAATGATCCTTCATCTTCTTAAATATCTCCCACTCCTCTCATAAGTTTTACAACCACCTTTTCAGAAAATTTCAGGTGTTCTTCAATTCAGTATTCAGAGTATTTTGAAGAAGACATTTTCTGGGCAAGTTCTATTATTGTGGCAGTTCACTACTTTGGAGATAAGATACAAACTCCAGCTACTATTTTCTGACAACTAAGCACTACATTTCATAATAACTCGAACTTTCATTACAAACAAATTATTAGCTTTCAATAGAACTTGAATAGTCTCCTCTACAAAAGAAAAATGTTGTGAATTAATTACAGCAGTTTTGTATTTATTTTAAGAAGAATGGCTTCAAAAGTAGTTTTTATGAAAATTGACTTCCAACATTTTTCACATCTTTAAACAATTCAGAAAATGGGCAGTCATAAATTTTAAAAATTCAACTGGCAAAAATTGTTTGTTCCCATGGACCACTTTGCTTGGTTTATATTCAAAGTTATAGCTACACTTTCATATAGATATCCAGGAAAGTATATATATTTTATATTTCTTATTATTAAACAAAATTGGGGTGGGGGGGCATAGAAGTGAATGAAATTCAGAAGTGGGCCACAAGCAAGAAAAGTTTGAGAACCACTGGCTTACATCACCAGATGTCTCCTGACATTTATACTGTGTCTAAAACATCTTTGAGGTTGCATCATCATCAGATAATGGCATAGAACATTATGCCATCATTAGAGAGTTACTGTATTCTGTTTTAAATGTATGCTCATGAAGTCTCCATACCAGACACCTCTTTGAGCATGCAGGACTTATCTTCTGTAAGGTTGCCTTTTGAAGGTATGATGTACCACCAGGGATGTTTTAGACAGACAATAACTCTTTGTTTCATATATGTCATATGTTATCAGCAGCCAACAAAATTAAATCCCCATTTAACCTTCTAATAATGCAAGGGAGAGTCAGTAAATAGATCACAAATAGAAGTAAAACAGCTATAATGGATATAATAGGTTTTCTATGTGTATCACTAGGTAGCAGCACAGTCCAGCTTCATGAGAGCATGTTCAGAGGCTGGTTTCAATAGCCAAAATGGCGACCATGCTTGAGGGTATACTACCAATGAGCAGCGTTCCATTCTGCGTTTTTTGTGGGCAAAAGGACTCAATGCAGAGGATATTCATAAAGAAATGTTTCCTGTTAATGGTGAGAAGTGTTTGTCATATAAATTGGTTCGCAACTGGGTCAAGAAATTCTCTCAAGGACCTTCAAAATTTGCAGATCATGCCTGACCAGGTTGCCTTGTTGAGATTTTGACAGGAACAACTGCGCAGAGGGTGGGAGAGTTAATTTGAGCTGACAGGAGGATAACAATATATAGCGTAGTAACCGTACTGTGATGTTTCCATGGTTTAGCATACAGCATAATGCATGATTGTTAGAAGTTTTGGAAAGTGTGCACATGGTGGGTGCTGCCCAGAGAACTGAAATATTAAAAAAAAAAAAAAAAAAAATTAACCAAGTGGTTCTGTCCTAGCAATATCTCCTATGGTATGCAGATGAGGGAGAAGATATGCTTAACAGATTTGTTATTGGGGACAAATCATGGGTGCATCACTACCAACCTGAATCAAAGCATGATTCAATGCAATGGAAACATCCACGTTCACCTTCTACCACAATGTTTAGGGTTATGCCATCAGCTGGGAATGTTATGGGATTCTCAAGGACTACTGTTAGCTGATTTTCAGAAGTGTGGTGAAAATGTGAGTTCTGCATTGTACTGTGAAGTTCTGTTCAAGCTTTAGGATGGAACTCACAGAAAACGTCCAGGTCCACTGGCAAGAGGGGTACTGTTTCATCATGATAATGCCAGATCTCATACAGTCTGAGTAACCCAGGAGAGTAGTTACTATAGGATTCTGACGATGGTGTATAACACACTGATATGTTTTTTTTGTGACATTGGTTTGTCCAGTGATTGAGGCTAGCTCTTTCTAAGGGACCCAACTGAATAGGTGTTTTCCTTCACCTGAGGACGGAAACAGATCCAGTTTCCGAAACGTCGTGTTTTTATTTATCTTAAAAACCAGGACGATGGATAAAGTCCAAAATCCCAACATATCAACCCAGTAGAGATTTCAAGAACTACAATGGGAACTTTTGAACATCTGCCTTACAGCCTGGACTTGGCTTCTAGTGACTTCCATCTGTTTGGTCCACTAAAAACCCCCTCAGTGACAAATGTTTCGGGGATGATGAAGTTGAAACGGAGGTGAAGAAGTGGCTGAGACAACAGTAAAAAGACTTTATGCTGTGGGTTTTGATGCACAAGTAAAGCAATGGGACAAGTGTATGTATGTTGATTGAGGATATATTGAGAAACAACTTTTTTTTTAGATTTGAATATCACATATTTTATGCTTTATATCCATTTGTGACCTATTTACTGACTCTCCCTCATATATATAATGCAGCTACTTGTACACAAACACACTCACAAACATAAATGAACACTTAGTATCAATTAGTTCCACAGTCTCGCATGCAACACTAATGTTCTGTAAAACTAATTAAAAGTTATTCACTTTAAAGTTTTATACTACAAGTTTTGACCAATGCGATCATCATCAGATTTTAAAAATTATGGATGGGGATGCTGCTATCTTCTGTATCATTGCTTAGGTTGTTAATATATAGACCCCCTCAATGCGCATGTGTGTTTGAGCCATTGGGTTGTTTTCCTTCCTGTTGTGTTATGTTGCATATCTTGTTTCCCAATACCTGACGATGACCACATTGATCAAAACATGTAGTATAAAACTTTAAAGCAATAGCTTTTAATTAGTTTTACAGAACATTAGTGTTGCATGTAAGACTGTGGAACTAACTGATAATAAGTGAGAAGTGCAACAGGATGCTATAATTTAATATTATAAATGTATAGATGCACATATGTCCTGTCTGTCTGTCTGTCTGTCCATATGAAACAATCCGAGAAATTTTGAAAGGATTCTCAGGAAATATGACACTTGGAAGTTTTACTAAGACATGACAACTCCTACTGGTTGAGCTTAATATCTGTCATCAGTAACAGACACGTCACATGAAAGCCTATATGCATTTCTGCATACATTTCAAGCATAACTTGCAAAATATTTCTCTGAGCAAAAAAAAGTTTTGAATATGAGTTGTGAGCAAGAATGCCCAACTCACTTCTCCCATAAGTGTTACAGTTCTGTTTTAATCAAACAAACGACAGTTAAGACATCAGGGTTGTTACACTGGGTGTACACATCTTACCTAACTTATTTTCGAAGACTTCGGTGCTAGAAATGATTTTATAGGCTTGATAAATTTTATAAGTAACATGTGTATATGTTATGAACATAAATGCCTTAAGTTATGGATGTTCTTGCTGAAAAGACGTTGCTGCCAGAAAGCTTAAGCTTACCTCATCTTTGCAGAGGGACAAGCCTGAGAACCTAGAAAATAGTCCCAACAATTACAAACATTGATTCATCACACGTGAGGCATGAAGATATTCAGGAGACATGTGCGCGGTAAGGCTAGTCTTGAATTCAAGACTTGTAACATTCAAGTCCAGCACTTGTGAAATGTGAACAGCTTCCATTCATCATGCAGATACATTACCACTATACAGATAATATGCCTCTTAATGAGTCCAAATTTAACATCCACTGTCTCTAGCTGTCTTCTGTCAGGAATGACTTTCCACAGTCTCAACGTGCCTTCTCCCCCAGTGATGAAACAGTGTCCACGTAGGTTTGTGCGGCAGAGTAAGACTGCACTGCCTGATGTCCCGCAATTTGCCACGGCACCTGGAAACACATCCAGATGAGAGAGCATTTCAAAGTGTCACTTGCACTGTATTCACACACATAAATTACATTTTGTGCATTGTAGGTGATTTAATGATGTTGTCAATATCTAGACTGATGTAGAAGGTATCCCTGTAAGAGGCCATGGTGGCCAATAGGATTGTGAGATGATGAGGCTCCCACATTTTCTAGACAATCAGCTCACAGATGGGGGTGAGGTTGTCAGTCTTACATGCTGGCCACCCTTTAGCCCCAGGAAGATTTCTGATGCTCATTTCTGTTAGAGACTGAGTCGACCCCAAGGTCATAGTGTAGTTGGAAGGATTAGGTCAATTGAAATATCCAATGACTTAATTGGAAATCGAACCCACAACCTTCTGGCTTGTAGCATAGTGCCTCAACCAACTACGCTATGGAGGACATTGATAAGATGGATAAGAGAAATGCAGGAAGGGGTGTAATGGACTGGATTCATATGGCTCAGGATAGGGACCAGTGACAGGCTCTTTTGAACAAGGCAAGAACTTCAGGTTCCATAAGAATGTTGGGAAATTCTTGAATAGCTGAGAGACTGGTGCCTTTTCAAGAAGGGCTTGGATCCATGCAGTTAGCTAGTTAGTCAATATCTAGACCATATATTGCTGAATGGTAGGATACTGAACAAATGATTAATTGGAAAGGATTTTGAAGGCTGTGGTTGTGGTATAATCAAGGTAATACCCAAGCATATGCCTGGAGGGACTAAGGAAAACACAAGAAACCTTCCTCATGATAGCAAGTGGCCCAGCTGCAATTTGAACTGAGTAACTCCCAAACAAAACTCTAGAGCATTACCACTAACTAACCCCCTCAGTACATCACATTCTGGAGAACACTAACACTGTCAGTTGATACATACCACACACAGCTTCTCCTTTTTCAACATTCCACACAATAATATTGCTATCATCACGACCACCCAGAGATATGAGATGTTTACTGTCACATGTGAAGGTGACTGACTCCACACGAACCTTGTGGATATCATACTTAGACAAAATCTGACTGGTTTCAAAGCTCCACAAGATAACAAGTGCCTGAAACAAGACAACATCTGAGTCCATTCATGGCTGGCCAGAGTGCACTCTGTGTCAAAACTGTAAACTTGTTGAACAAATATCACACTCAGGTGATTAGCACTCCCGCTTTGTATTCAACAGTCCTGGGTTCAAATCTCAACCTAGAGGCTCTCTATCTTGACTAAAATTTTCTTGGCTTTCCTCAGTCCCTCCATGCAAATGCTGGGATAGTTACCTTAAATAACAGGCCAGAAGTGGACGCAGTACAAGGGACTTAGTCCCACCCCACTAGCAATAAAAAAAATACCTTAAATACGATCATGAACACTTTCTTTGACATCCGTTCCAATTTATTATCACCCTCTCATTCAATTCTATGTAATCTGAGCAACTGAAAGCACTGTTAAGTGAACCAAGGGTAAACGTAATGGAAATTACTGTCGTCCAGACTGTGGTACTGTGTAGTCAGCTAATGTTTACCAGCGTCTCTGAGGACTGTACTGATTAAGAGCTCATTCTACACATTTGTGAATATTACACTGTATCACATCCCAGAAGACAGTAATTTGAACATTCACCATCATGAGAGCTTCAAATCTTACATGTATATCTATTCGTGTTGTACCCATAGATTTTCTCAGAACGAGATCATACATTTACATATACAAAATTATTTTATGGGGCTCTGCCGTCATGTTGCTTCATATTTGTCCACCACCATTTCTTTCATAGCCATCAGAATTAATTAATTACTAATCATTCTGTTATTTTAAACTATATATTCTCAGCTATTGATTTGTACATAATATGCTTGGTCTGATTGTTGTATCTTAGCATCCTGTTGTAGTTTGTATTAAAATTTATTTTCAGTCATTTACCATCCACCGTCTAACAATAACAAGATTCAAAATCCAATCCTTTTAAAATTCATCACTGCACCCTTGATAGGCAACAGGCATACCATGAAAGACAATATGTGTGCAATAGAAGGAGGAACTAAATTGACTTCATTTAAAAACATTGCAAATATGAGCATACCGATCGCTGTGGCACAGAAGGCATAGCAATCCCCTTAACTTCCAACTACCTTATGATTTTTTTAGTCACTGTTTACATTCCCTACAGAACAGACAATACTTTGTAAGATGAGGCAGCGACTAACTAATTAACATTAATATTACTACATCTACATCATGAGCCTCCCATAACAGTTTTTATACACAAAATATAGAATACTCTAATTTGTTCATGGGAACGAAACAAAATCACAAAAAAAATGACTAACTAGATGATGTAAAGCATCAACCGAAGAATTTTATTCTTGTTTTATATAATCTAATTTATTGTATTTTTATGTCAAGTATTTTAATATAATTAATATTATTGTATCCAATTTTATTAATACTGCAGTTCAGTGGCGTATATATATGTTAGCCATGTATTTGCCTGATGATGGCTATTAATAGCCAAAACATATAGCAGAGCCAAAACCAGGCACTAACTTTGATATAGTTGTGTTGTGACAGTCTTAATAAAGAAGTTATGTACCTTATTTAGTATTGTTGCATGGTGGACATTAAACAACTGAAAATAAATGTTGGGTCTGAGGCAGCAATGACTGTGAAGAGTAATCTTCTGGGATGTGACACCCTGCAGGCCAGTAGAACTTTGCTGATGTTTCAGAGGAAAATAATCCCTCCATCTTCAGGGCTACAGAGTAAGTAATCAGCAAGGAGGAAACAAGCAGAGCTTGCTTGGCTTACTCTATAGCCCTGAAGATCAAGCCAGTATGTTCTTTCAAATGTTACTGAACTTTTAACTAGGCTACAGGGTGCCACATAAATTTGCACATGCAATATATGAATATCGGTAAGGTATGTGAAATGACAGGGGATTAATTCAGATAGGAATCGAATTATCCCTGAATTCAATAATGCACCACACCATGAATACATATGGAAAATGGAGAGAACCTTGTAAGGACACATAATTTTGCCGATTCTCCCATCTGAATAAAACATCTACCAAGACATTTCTGTTCAAACCTACGAAAAATTGGATTCACGTTTCTTTTCATAAAAATTGGCCTTGGCAACCAGGCAAACAGGTCACCCAAACACTAATCCTATAAACACCTGAGACCAGGATAAGTCCATGAGAGCTAACAGGAAAAATACACTAAAATTGTTCCAAGCATGCAGATGCGTGAAACCATGGTAGATTACTTAGTTACTCATGGAGCTCAGCTCCTCTTGAGGAGCGGCCAATTCTGCAGCTACTCAAGAAGGAACCATGCTAGATAGGAGGTAGGAATTTCAGTTAATGGGCGCGATTTACTCCATTGATGACGCTAGTAGTACACACTATTAGTTTTCACGAGTTCTCCTTTCTATTCCATGCTTTCGAGTTCATGGACTTGGTTATTAGTTTTATTTCATGGCATAAATTTCTACCTCCCTATCTACCATGGTTTCACGCATCTGGGTGCTTGGAACAATTTTTAGTGTACATTTTTCCTGGTAACTCTCATGGACTTAGCCTGGTCTCAGGTGTTTATAGCATTAGTGTTTTGCTCTTTTTTGTTTGCCTAGTAATTTAGGCTTCTTTTTAAGAAGGGGAATGTCTGAGTAGATGTTTCCCTTGGTCATGAATGCAACTATTCATTGACTGAAGCTAATTTTTTATTAAGGAAACATCACAGTAGGTGTTTCTCTTAGAACTACATTCATTGACTGCAGCTATTTAGGCTTCTTTTTAAGAAGGGGAACTTCTGAGTAGACGTTTCCCTTGGTCATGAATGCAACTATTCATTGACTGAAGCTAATTTTTTATTAAGGAAACATCACAGTAGGTGTTTCTCTTAGAACTACATTCATTGACTGCAGCTAATTTTTATAGCATCAGTGTTTTGTTCTGCTCGCCTAGTAACTAAGGTTCGTTTTTAAGAAGGGAAACTTCTGAATAGACGTTTTCCTTAGTCGTGAATGGAAATATATTCATTGACTGATGCTATTTTTTTATTAAGAGAAACATCCCAATAGGTTTAAGGTCTTTCATTCTGGTCCGTCACACTAACAAATTAACAATCAAGTTCCTTCCGTCAAATGTGACACTTTTTTAAGTTTTCCACCTCGTCACCACCTGCCTTACATGTTTCGGCTCACCACGGAGCCATCATCAGAGGCATTTATAGTAGAAAAAGAAATCACCAACACACAAAACTTCACTTTGTCAAAGATAACCACGTTCCAGTTAATTAAAATAATTACAAATAGTTAAAAAGTTAGTGAACCGATACTCTGGGTAATTTTAACTATTTGTAATTATTTTAATTAACTGGAACGTGGTTATCTTTGACAAAGTGAAGTTTTGTGTGTTGGTGATTTCTTTTTCTACTATAAATGCCTCTGATGATGGCTCCGTGGT